AATTGGTGTCCTTGAAAATTGAAAATTATTCCTTAAAAAGTCCTTGAAAAGTCCTTGAATTTTATATGTAAAAATCTGTACGAACCCTGAAAGTAATGTTTTAGGGATCACCTTAGCCAAGCTTTGATGGAAAATGACAAGAATTCAATCCTTTTTGCGATGTTTGTTGCACTGTATTGTTGCCAATATGGCAGCCAAGACATTAAATAAGAAAATCGTCTCATTAGTTCTTAAACAAAGTTAACTAATGTTCTTGTGCTTGCTAAGACACAAGTATAGTAAGTTTAGTAACTGCAGAAGTTATGTACTTCTGGTAACTGTGTTTAATTTCTTTTTGTAATTAGCGTCCTTGGAAATGGAAAATTAATCTTTAAAAAACGTCCTTGAATTTTGTATGAAAAAATCTTGACGAACCCTGATTTCGAAGGTGACCGTCTTGCGTATTGAGAAATTTGTTATAAAAGAACTATAAAACGGCCGCTTGATATAAACACGGTGGGAACTGAAAAGTACTCGAGAAGCTACGCTCGTGTTTCGCTTGCTTCTCGAGTGCTTTTCAACTCCCGCTGTGTTTATATAAAAGATAAATGTATACAACCATTCCACATAACTTTGAGTAATATTACTCAAAGTTATGTGGAATGGCTGTATACATTTATCTTTTATATAATGGTTTCCTACTATTCTACCCTTCTTGTAGTATATCAGTTATTCATCAGCTTGTTATGGGATTCCTGTGGTAAATATGAAGGACAKGCTGCAAAGTTAATATTGAACAGTTTAGAATTTCTGGTAAAAAAACTAAAATGTCTGTAAGTCAGTTTAGTTTGTAAAAAGCTTTGTAAGCTTTGAAAGCTTAAACGTTTATTATGACATGATAGAATTTTACATTCAAATAAGACAGGCTACAATAGTTTTATGGACAAAAATAAAACAACAAACAAAAAAACAAATAAACGACAAGCAACCAGTACAAGGACATTGCTTCGTGTGCGTKTGCTCGTTTCCGGAGTAAAATTTTAAWAAGTTCAACGGCTTTTTCTTTTCAGTGTAACTTTACACAAGTGCCATAACATGCTATAACACATTCTCGTACCCAGACCCTTCTCAGCTTCCCAACGGAAAATCGAAGGTTCGATTTTCCGTTGGGAAGCTGAGAAGGGTCTGGGTACGAGAATGACTATAACACATATGAGTTCAAAAACGTTTTTTTATGAAGYTCTTTTTACATTTTAGGTAGAGCTGCGGCTGTTTGGTAAAAAAATATATATTAAGTTTTAAGCTTACTTTCAAAAGAACTAAGCCGTCTTGGCATCCTACACTGGTTTTATAGAGCTAAGGTAACACTTCTTGTTTAAGTCAACTCGAGCACAGCTTTCAAGTCCAATAATTCTAATAAAGGAAATGCAATAACTAATAATCTAGAACCTTTACATATAACTATTTATCAAACGAACATGACCAATCAGAAATGGTGTTATATTTGCTCTTTTTTACACGATGAACTATTACATCATTTCAAGCGCGCGGTTTTACGTGCACGCGCGCGTACGCAATAAAAGAAGTCGTGGTTTCCAGGGTAATTTCACTTTGTTCAGCTTTGCGAACAGTTCACAACAAGCCCAGTCTTGAGATACGCTTTATAAACAAGTTTTTAGAAACAATCAACAACAACGCAATTTCTAAGATGGCTTTAGTATCTTTTCAAGATCTCTCTAGCCAAGAAGCGGGAAATCCCTATACAACACCTGTGCAACCACTGTCCTTTGACGACTTTACAACAACATCGTCAGGGCTCCCAGATCTTGAGCCGCTCAATTTCAGCAGCCAAGAAGTAACATCAACAGGTGTAACTCAGTATGTTAACTATACTACAACACAAACCAACACAGTCCATAGGAATAACACCACCTTTGAGGAGATGGTCGTCACTAGCGTGTGTTACCAAAAGCATATCTTACTTGACGGAACTGTACTCGAAAACGAGTCTAAACTTGCGATCCGTTCATGGGCGGACGAACATGGAAATTATCACTGGGTGGACGATGACAACCATCAAGCCACCAAAGACTGTCAAGAACATACAGAATCAACGGATRACCATTTTTCCTGTAACGATCGCTTCGTTGAGGAAACCAACTACCGAAGTTTTTATACTACCTTTGAACCAGAGCAGTTTGCTGTGGAAGACATGGTCTTTGAATACATGGARGACCACAGGGAATTCGAATTCTATGATTTTGCAGTGAATTTCCCAGAACAGACTGACATTCTGTGCAAAAACAAYTTGGTCAAGCTTATMGACAAGATAGTTCCATTTGCCGAGGAGCAAGGAAGATTGGAGGACGTCAATATGCTTGCGTCTTCCCACGTCTACGATTATCAGCTGAACGTCAGAAGAGGACAAGCAAGCAGTYCTGAGATGATGCAGTTGAACATGWACAATAACGCACAGCTATGCCTGGAGTACATTCCCGTGGAAGAGAAAGAAACAGCACCCGACGAATTAGCCACTCTATCTTCAGTGGCGGAGGTTGAAAGTGTGGTCTTAACCAACAATGATGTGAACATTAAAACACCTTGTTCTCTTGATTCATCATGCAGTGACATTGGGTTAAAGGACATGTTTATGTCACCATCAAGTTCTTTCAACAGCATTAACAACATCGATTCAACTTCATCATGTTATGACCTAAAGGACTTATTTATTTCGCCATCAAGTTCTTCCAACAACATCAATTCAACTTCATCATCATGTTATGACCTAAAGGACTTGTTTATGTCACCATCACATTCTGTTGACAGTAATATGTGTGCAATTCTACTTGACGTTGATACCATCTCGTTGCCTCCRAAACATAACTTTGGATCGCCATTATCATCATGCAGTGATTTGAGCGGCTTTAATCTGTTTGAAGATGCTGCTCCAGAATGTGAAGATCCTGATGAAGCTCTTATACTTACGGATAATGTCCCATCCACTGATGAAGTTTGTGTATGCATTGAAGATGTTGAGTCTCAAGACGCGACTCTGTTTTCATGTGAATCTGAAAGTTCACCTCAACTGTCACGTGACACCACTACTGCTTCAAGTAAATTGGACACTCATATTGACATTGATTCATTCTCTTTTGAACATGAATCGACTCCACAGGAAGAGATGAAAGCAGATATCAACGCTTCTTCTCCCTTCAAACCCTCACGTCTAGGGAGACTGCGCAGTTTTCTTAGAAGTCTCAATATATTTGCTGGAGTAATCTGYGCCAAGATTGTATGTACATTTGTGCAAAACTTCACCGTGATGTAAAAGGAGTTTTGTACSTACTGAACTTTGCACAATTCACTTSTAAAGTGACCCTATCGCTGCGTGYMCTTAAGRCACCCAAATAAAACCTCGTACTCATTTATTAATGTAAATTAGACTTTTTATCGTCTGTAGACCTATACTGGTCTATAGACTTTTAGTTGTAAATAATACTTTTATATTGTAAAATACGGAATTGTAAACAGCTGTTTGTAAATAAGTAATTATGAAGGATTTCATAAACACGATTCTAACGATGGTTTTTCTTTTATGGCATTTGTTTATCTATTCTTTATATCGGTATCCAGCATTCTGATTGGCTACTATTTAAGATAGACGATGGTCGCATCAATRACTTGAAAATAATCGAGAAAAATTGTTCTTTAACCCCCATTAGATCTTAGATATCTGTAAGTGTCTTCACAGTACGATGGTCTAAGAGGGTAGCTAAAGGTATGCTCTAGTGGGCGGCTATCCCCTCACTCACTGGCTTTTTAAGTTTTATGTTCACTCCGGATAGCGTGGAAGAGCCGAAATCTCTAACCTTATCATAAGCCGATTCGACGCCTCAGCTTCATAGAATGTCTCGGGAGAATCGTCACATCTTTTTAGATTTTGTTTTCATTATTTCTTTATGTATGACTTGGGTTACATCTGGCTCCCGAAGTGMAGTTCTGAGTTCGAACCCTACTGCTGGAGTCTGGAGTTTCTCTTTTTGAAWAGTTTATTTGTTGTTTTTTCTTTTGTTTCTTTTCTTCTTTCTTTTTTTCTTTTAATATTTTTCCTTTCTGTTCTTACTTTGTTTGCTTTTCTCTAGARRTTTTCTCTTTTCAACTTAAACATATCATGGAATCCGGCGCAAGGAACGCCTGCTACAAATGGATGGTTACGGTTCTTCACWAAAACGGCTCGTAAATAATAATGAAACAAATATCTACAGGAAATTAAAAATAAACAGGACTAAAAAACTGGCAAAACTGCTCATTGTTTGGTGATTAATCTATGTGAAGCTAAAAAGGAATCGGTGAATTGAAGACCTCTGAAACTCCASCATTACACTCGAACGCGTTCCACATTTTCGATCTTGATGATATAAAAGTTTAAAAATGGATTAATATATTGATTACCAAATAATTATTAAATATAAATATAGTGAATGTTAATAATTGAAGAGGATGAATGATGGGATAATCAGTACAAAATTAATAAAGAAATGAAGAAAAACTTAGCAAGCTTTCGGTTTTATTGCAAAACTACAATCAGGCATACATGTTTACTGTAGGCAGGGAAACAGGGCGCTTCGCGTCAGGCCCCCACGGGAGGAATGATCAACCATCACGATAGGTTCTTTGGCCGATGGGAATCGCCTCCTGTTGTGTATTTATAGGCAAAGTAATGGCAAAGTAAATTTTCCCCCCGGAAAATTTTGAGATCTTAAACTCTCGGAAATGTCATTTCCAGCGTTTTGAGGCGTTATCCCAGACATATTTGTGACCGCTAAAACCGCACACACGGTCACACGATATTCAATAAAATCCCAAAAACTTCATAAAAAGCTTCAATTTTAATTTTTCACAATCTCTATAGAATGAAAAGCGAAATTTCATTAGGAGGCTCTTCACTTCTTTATTTAAGAATATTCAAAATGGAGGAAAAATTATTGGGGGGGAGGACTGTAGTCCCCAAGCCCCCCCTGCGCCGCGGTCCCTGAACAAGCGGGGAACATGCTTGTTCCAGCTCACGATTAAACACGACTACCAAGTCAAGTATCAAAATTATTTTCCTGACATTGCAAAAATGACAACCATTTTTGGGTTGTTGCCCGATTCTACCTCGCTTTGGTACAAAACCGCAGGCTCCTCGCGCAACTTGTTTTCTAACGGCAATAAATGCTATTTCATAATGAATATGTGGACCGCATGACACTATGAAATACATGATAAACGAATTTTAAAGTTATAGTGTTGAGATTAGAAGGAGGTTATTCCGGGAGAAAGACTATTCTCAATTTCACAGCGGAAGGTCGGAAATTGATTTTCCCGAATTTCTTTCCAAGGGTTTCTCCCGGAATAATCTCCTTCTAAGCACTATAACTTTTAAGTTAAAAATCCTTTATCTCCTTAATTATTTAAGTTAAAATTCCTTTATTTGCTTATCATCTATTTCATATTTCTGGCTACAAAAATCAGTAAGAATAAGACATCTTTAATACGTGATATGTTTTTTTTACATTTTGTTTTTTAAAACCTCCCTATTCCCTACAAATAATATATTGACGTTGTCATTTATCGCCTATCRAGCGKTGGGCATCCKTTGCGGTCTTCCTGTGGTGAGCCCAGTCTCCCTCAAATCGTTTTCATAATTGTATTCAAAATGGCGGATAAACAAGCACTGGAAAGTAAAGAATTCGATCCAACAGAATTCCAACACACACGATATAATCCTTTGAAAGGAGAGTGGGTTCTTGTTTCTCCTCATCGTATGAAAAGACCCTGGAAAGGCCAAGTTGAAAAAAACTCAGAAGACGAAATCCCACGTTGGGACGAGAAAAACCCACTCTGTCCTCGAGCTACTAGAGCCAGTGGCAACGTAAGCAATTATTTCAAGTGTGTTTAGCCTATTTGATCCAGTTTTGTTTTGAATTATCATGGATTTGTGAAAATATAATATTTTGTTTTATATTTTGATCATATATTAAAACTATCATGTGACGTCCACATGGAAGTATTACACAGGGAGCCCAACGATTTTGTTAATAGTAAAATCTATATTATTATTATTACTGTTATTATAACAAAGCCTCAGTCTTGTTCCATTTGTATGTATCTCCATATTTTATTGTATGTAATATTCAATCAAGTATTAGGGTTCATTGATATTACAACTGATATTGTTGAAGTTTGACTGTTCTTGCTATATATTCAAAGTCTTATTCTGAAACAGCAATTTTAGTGGACTTCAATCCATGAAAGTTTTAACACACTAAAGACTTTGGCAAAAAGCTTCAAATTATGATAAATAGTAAAAATAACTAAAATAAAATACCACACATTTATTTAGAATGTTATAGATATTGAGATTGTGACAAGGTTTAGTCTAAAAGTGATTATATAGATATTATCCTGTACTTGTGTTTCTGTCTGTACATTAGTGTAGCAACTTTTAACTTCATGCACAGCACCTCGTCTTGATTCTTTAGTGATGACTACTGAGGCACAATGTGCAAATCCCAATTTTTTTTTTCAAGGTTAATCCAGATTATTCAAGTACGTTTGTGTTTGAAAATGACTTTCCAGCTTTGTTACAGGGTGATTCACCTCCTCCAGGTACTTTTATATATATAATTATAGTTATTGATTAATACTTTATTTTTTAATTCAAAGCAGRTAGCTGCTGATTTATTTGACAGCARATTCTCTTGCACTAAGACAAAATGTTGTGGTCTCAATTGGAGAAAAAATACAAATTTGAAAGTGTATTGTAAATATAGCAACATTTTGTATTTTTTTGTWTGTGTGTTTGGTAAGGTATTTACGCAAGAAACTTCCAACAACCGAAAAGTTGTTTCACCTACTTTTTGACAGTGTTAAAATTTATATTTTTGCACAACTGTTTCTTTAGAACAACAACACAGCTCACCACTAGTTTCCGCTATTTTGATTCAATAAGTAACTCTTTTTAGGCCAGTCAAGTCACCACTTGTTACAATGTAAACCAGCTAAAGGAACWTGGTAAGAAACACATTCTGGTGAAGGTWTAGATGCTTATAATYAAGTTGACTGTATTTTGTTGTGTTTATAGCAGAGTGATGTGTTTCCATCCTTGGTCTGATGTCACTTTACCTCTAATGTCCATTCCTGAGATTGTCAGTGTCATACAAGAGTGGATAAGACARTTTAATGAACTCAGCAAGACTTACAGATGGGTCCAGGTTTGTATTAGCAACAATGGCATCTATGCTATTGTAAAACTTATCCTAAAATGACTATTTGAATCTAATATCTTCTTGAATCATTTAATCATCTTTACCATTCTCCAAGTTTTCGAGTGAGGGTAGCTACCGTCGCAGACTCTAGTCCGCGGGATTCCTGTGTTAAGGCAGTTTGTCGGATGTACTGACCGGAAGTAATATTGTAATAATTGAGAGCGGAAGTGAGTCAGTGTGTAACGTGATAGTGGGTGTGTGTATCAAAAGAGAGAGACGCGATGTGAGCGAGAGAGAATTGCATAATATGGTGACTTTGAACGGAATGAAGAAGCAATCAATGCCACTATATAACGTGCAATTAAAATCCCTAGACGGCAAATCGAGTGAGAATATTGAGGCAGCGGGAAGTAAAATGTTTGACTTCACGACAATCAAACGTCCTGCAGTGAAAGAGTTAAAAGAGAAATTTCCACATGCACGCGGGAAAACTTTTTACTACCTAGAGTCAGGAGAATATCAAATTGATCTTATCCTAAGTGRCGGTGTTTATAATAAGATAAGAGTGCACAAAGGCGGGCCAGACGACCCTATAATCGAAGAAACTACATTTGGGTGGGCGATTCATGGCGGAAAGGAATACGCAGTAGGGTCAAGTTTGTTCACTAAAGACATAGACCGTTACTACGAGAAACTGTACTCTTTAGATGTGCTAGGAATTGAGGATAGAGGAGAAGATGACAGTTCAGCAATACTAACAGAGTTAACAGAGAGCATTGTTATCAATAGCGAGGGCGGATACGAAGTAAAGGTACCCTGGATACCAGGAGCAGAGCTGAACAATACAAATGAGTAACTACCAGTAGGGACGTCTAGAAAATGTGGAGAGGAAGCTAAGTCAAGATAGCAAGCTACAAACTGAGAACAGGAAGATAGTGACGGAGCAGCTGGAGACAGGCGTGGTTGAGAAAGTGCCAGAGACACCTAGCGGCGACAGAGTGTCTGCATGCCTCGCAAGCCTGTATAGTAAGAGAAACTGCTATCACAACCAAAGTCAGCAGAATAGTGTTCGATGGAAGTGCCAAACCACACCCGTTAGCCAAAAGCGGGAACGAGTGCATGTACACTGGACCACCTCTACAGCCGCTGCTCTGGGACATTTTAATCAGAGCTCGCATGTCGTCACACCGGTTACTAGCGGACCTTGAGAAGACGTTTTTACAGATAGCTATCGCAGAGAAAGACAGACTGAGATGTATTCAGATTCCTTTTCAACATCAACGGAAAAGAGGAACATCTGCGGTTCACATGCAGAGTACCGTTTGGACCTGAGGCAAGCCCATTTATGTTAGGAGCCATACTACAGAATCACTTGAACCTTCAAAGTCAAGAATTACAAGAGACTGTGTTAGCACTTAAGACACATACGTCGACAACCTCATGAAAACCACTATGAGCAGCGAAGATCTACAACGATTCAAACAAGAAGCAACAACAGTGCTTGAATTTGCCAAGTTCCCTGTCCTCAAATGGGAGTCGAACGTAGCAGAGCTCGACGCCGAAGTAAACCCATCCAAGATACTTGACTACAAATGGGACAAACGAGCAGACACACTAGAGGTAACGTCAGAAGTTGAGAGGAATACAAGTGACAAACAAGTGAACAAAAGAGGGATACTAAGTCAATTGAGCAGCGTGCACGACCCTCTTGGTTTGATCTCTCCAACCATCGTGCAAGGAAAAACAATTTGCCGTGACGCCTGTGACGAGTGCAAGACCTGGAATGCTGTAGTATCAGATGACATAACACAACGATGGAGCAAGTGGATCTATCAACTGCATAACGTTAAAGTGCCGAGAAGTGTACCTCAAGGAGTGAACGACATAACTGGTGTTTACTTACATGTGTTCGCGGACGCGAGTGAGACAGCCTGTTCAGCAGTAGTCATAGCGGTAATTGAACATTTATCGGGAGTGGTCAAAGGACTGCTAACTTCAAAGTCGAGAATAGTCGAGGCGCAACACCACGATACCGAGTAGATTAGAGTTGATCAGCGRACACATGGCCGACAATTTAGCAAAAATCCCAAACAACGCCCTACAACTCTGGCATTTCAAGTCAATTATAATATGGATGGATAGTATGACAGCCTTATAGTGGGTATGCAACCCTGGAAAACCATGAAAAGTGTTCGTCTCTAACCGTGTTTGGAAGATAGACTCATAAAYAAAAGCCGAGAGAAGGAGATTATGCCACTCACAACAGAAGAGATCGACAGTTCAATGAACCATGGGTGAAGAAAGTACAGGCAGACGTCAATGTTGATTTGGAGACTCCAGCCTGGACTATAGTTAAAGATAACAGGGGCATCCTGAGATGTAAGGGGAGAATYGCTGGCTACCACAGGCACCGCGGAGCGGGAATCTGTTTGGGGGGCTAGCRKCTRCAGAAGACAGGAGGTACTGGGGGTTCGGGGTATTCTCCCCGGAAAATTTTGAATCTTAACCCTCGGAGATGTCATTTCCAGCGTTTTGAAGCGTTATCCAAGGCATACTTGTGACCGCTAAAACCGCACACACGGTCACACGATATTCAATAAAATCCCAAAGACTTCGCAAAAAAGCTTCAATTTTAATTGTTTACGCTCTGGTTTTACACAATCTTCATATCARTGAAAAGTGRAATTTCACAAGGAGGCTCTTCGCATTTTTATTGAAGAAAATTCAAAATGGCGGAAARATTATAAGCACTATAACTTTCTTTCATTTCCATGACATTTAGAATAACCAGTTYAGCAAGTTTGGTCATATAAATAGAGCTACCTTTAAGTTGAGAGACTCAATATAGATATTCTATTCTATTCTACATTCTACTCAATATGTCACTCTTATACACATTACACAATTATACTTTACTCTGAGCCTTGTACACTTTGTACTGCTTTTAACGACGAATAAAGACCCCGGTACATTCTACCATTTGGGTGTTCTAATTGTGTAAGCCTAGCCACACCACACATTAGTAGCCTCACTACATGAGCGAGARAGAATTAATGAAGAGAATTAAGGTGAATTAAATCAAATAAAAGGAAACCTAAGTGACTATTTTGTGGCGAAATCGACTTTCGTACAGTACACAGGCTATACCCAGGAGAGGAWAAATCAGGAGGCTACATCAGGGAATAAAACACCATTCAGTCATACACCATTTAAAAATAGTTTTATAAAATTTTTGATATATAACGCGCGCTCTGATTGGCTGACGACCGTGTTTATATCAGAGGACAGAGACACGGCTTACCGGCAAAATTTTCTTTTCGCTCGAAAAATTTTATAAAAGAAATAAAAACCGGCCGCTTGTGTCTCTGTCCTCTGATATAAACACGGTGGGAGTTAAAAAACACTCGAGAAGCAAGAGAAACACTCGCTACGCTCGTGTTCCGCCTAAGCTTGCTTCTCTCGTGTTTTTCGAATTCCCACCGTGTTTATATCAGAGGACAGAGACACGCGCGCCGTTTTATATTTCTTAAATAATGTACGCATTTAACATTACATAGTCTTTTGTAACTATTCGTTTATTATAGATATTCGAAAACAAAGGAGCAGTTATGGGTTGTTCTAATCCCCACCCACACTGTCAAGTAAGTACAACCATGTGTCTTATGGTATGCTTTATTTAGGTACGTCRGGTAGAACTCAGGTCTACTTTTCGCAACGTATTGCATAGTCTACCACCCATATCTCCATATCTCATACCCAGAGTCACAGTTACTATCGACCTGCGGTCGCACTCAGCCTATTTACGTAGGCATTGGTTATGGGATTAGCAATTTTTGAGTCATCTGCGCTGTTAGAGCATGCGCAATTTCTCATTTCAAAAAAAATTCATTTCTTGAAAGTGTACGGAGTTGGTGCACTTATACCTGGACTGAAACTCTTTTTTAAAAAAACGGCATTTTGAACCAACAATGCATTGCGTTCTTAAAATACATTATCKTCAGTAATCAACGGTTTTGTAAATAGCTGTATATACTAAATACTGTAAATACTGTATTGAAATAATAATAATGATAAATTTTAACCCATCGCTCAGACGGAGTGTTCTGGGTGGCATATTGCCGATTCAAAATTCACGATCCATTGATTTATTTACAAAGGTTTGCTTATCCATTCCCAAATTGCCAAGCACTTGTTGCAGCAGTATATTTGTATTTCTGCCGCGTTTGGAACATTTATCTTCTTTTTTTAGTCATGCAATCGTTATTCGCTCTAACCAAGGTTATTTTATATTACCGTTGATAAACCTTAATTGCCCTGAACGAGAAGGTTTTGCATATGTTTCTGAAATCATGAACGATGTGACTATAATTTGCCAGTACTCTGCTTTTAGATGGGAAAGATCCTTCAGAAAACTCCTCTAGGTGTCGTTTGCTTTTACTAGTAAAATTACAACTTAAAAATCCTTCCATTATTGATGTAGTTTCTTCTCGGTACTTWTCACTTTCCTTGTYGTAAAAAATGTTTTCCAAAARTTTTGAGCGCAAAGGCTCGAAAATGTAGAAAAACAATGGATGCTGGTTGAGCAATTCCCCGAGAAAGCTTGTACCTGAGCGACCTTGACCAACAAGCACAACGTCGACGCCACTTGATTCTTTATATGCAGAACTCGCTGTAATAGGCTGATCCATAATTTTGTAGTTTTGAGAGGCGAACAGTATTATGATAAACACGACCGTAGAGAGGATAGCCAGAATGATTTTAAATGATATTAKTTTCATCTTCGGTGAGTATACATGTCGATGGAAATGTGATTTTGAAACTGTCATCATGGTAAAATGCTAAGTATTGTCACTTTGGTCACTGTGAGATGTACGGAGAACTGAAGAAGTTTCSATWGAGCTTCTCTCGTGTTCTTCCTACATCTCAAGTGTTTTGATCAGAGTATCAACTACGGAATTCCGTTTTATATTTCATTTCCAAAGTAATACATTTTTTTCAGGCTGAAGCATCTCAAACGTAATCGGTCTAATTTTTAGCTGTTGATGAAACGAGTAATTCTCCATATGCGCATCATCGACCAATCAAAATTCGGGTAAGATGAAGAGCGCTTAAATTTACTGAAACCAAAAATGACTGACGTTTCTGTCTAAGAACTTTCTTGAAAGACGGTCTCTTTATACAAATGTGTTTTTTTTCATTAYGTTGTAAAGCTTAGCCGTAAGTTGTAAACAAAATGAGGTTTTTCCTTCAAATAAGTTTATGATACTTTCTTTCTTTTGTGTCACATTTTTAATATGATATACACAGCAATAGCCGACTTTAGATATTTTGGTTCAATGACTATGTACAAAAGAACGCACACGAGGCTCCGGGGAAACAATGGATAATCTTGATTTATTCTTTTATTTCCCCGGGGCCTCGTCCGCAATTCTTTTGTGCATGGTCACTGAACCAAAATATCTAAAGTCGTCTATTTATAACTTAAAGAGCGGCGCACTCTAGGTATGACACTCAAGATAATTTAAATTAACATTTTTTCAATTTACYAATTTTACGGATGTGTCTGTTCTTCTCCATTCTTAAAACAATTTAAGTCGCTCAGTGAATTTTGATAAGAATTTTTCCATTTATGAATGATGTTATTGATGTTGATTTTTGAACGGAATAAACGAAGCATAAACATATGTTTATATGTCAAAAACCGTTTTTTTGCAAACGGCTGTATATAATATTATTATAGCTGTTGGAACTTGATATTGTGAGATTCATCAAAACGAAGCGCTTGAGTTTAGGTTGTAAATCAGTGAAATAAAACAAATACTTTTTACCCATTTTGCTTAACTTCGAATAATCCTCCAAGTTAATACAACAACTCATTGTCTCATTTTAATGCATTTATAATCATTTAGATTATTATTATATCACTGCGATAATCACACTTCCTTTTTTTCACGCTCAAAATGCTATCTGCAGGGAAACAATGGAGTGAGCGTACTTTATACTCTCACCATACACGCTTGTTCGCCAATATTAAAACCTGTTATGAACCAATTATTATTTTTCAAAAAAACAAAACAAAACAAAACGTTTTATCATTATCTCATTCTTTTCGTGAAATTTCAAGTTAACGTGGTAACGCCTTTTGCTGTGGCCCGAGCAACACATTAAAAATATAGGGGGTCGTATAACTGTCAAAGAAGTCTCCGTTCATCCGATCTAAACATATGTCGCCGTCCCCAAGTATTATACCTCAAAACGCTGTTCTATATCTTGGCACTCTCTATCTCTCCAGCCTGACTTTCAGAGAGCCTGGGTCCGACGATTCTATTCCATTCGGGGTGACCTACGTAGCACGCAGTTGATGTAATGTATTCATAAAATGTATTGTATTCSATTGTTYCTCKTTMTATTGTATTATGTGTTTTGTATTATATCTTTATGAATATATTACATCATAGTTAATATCTCTATTAACTATGATTACATCAACTGAGTGCTACGTAGATTCTCCCATGTAGATTCTCCCATTCCATTCTCGTATCCAGACTCCTTTYACACTCCTCAAACTCCTGGACAACTCCTTAAATTTAATTTACATTTGAATCAGAAACTAGTTAAAAGGAGATTGAAATGTTTAGCACAGTTTGATGCTCAACTTCAAATTGATTACATTGTAACTGGTTTCATTTTTTTCAGATTTGGTCTAGCTCATTTCTACCCAACGAACCTGCTCAAGAGGCGAGTTACTTTTTAGGAAGTCGAAATTAAGTTGAAGGACCAAATAKACATAAAAATAATAATAAATAGAAATAATATCAAAACAAAACAAAACAAAAAACGAGTAGAGGTTGTCATACGTATTCCATATATAGTATTTGCTRTTAGTAACAAGCGTACAGCGGTCYCTAACAAGCGAATAGAAGAACCTAAGAAGCGAATAGGACCGAATAGCAGCCCCTAAGGAATCCCAATTTACCAATGTTGGCAGCGTATATATTCCCTCGTAGTCAAATCAGTTGAGGCGCTTTACACTTGTAGCTCTAGTCAAAGATTTAGTTTTAGGGAAAAGGACGGTTCAGGCTATAAAATGTTAAATTCATTTTTCTAAGTTAAAATTTGATGAAAATATTTTGTGCAAAAACGTTCGAATAAGTTTCCAAAAAAAAATGTAGAAAAATATATAAGTGAAAAAAGTATGGATCCCTGTTCGCTTGTTAGGTGCTTCTATTCGCTTGTTAGGGCAGATATACACTTGTGCCATATATGGAATACGTACTACAAACCCGCCTCAAAAAAACTGCCAGCAAACTGTCAATCTGTCAATTTATCCCTACATCTTCCACAGGAAGCCCGGCAAAAAGAGTACATGGCAAACCATGGTATACCAATGCTTCTGGAATATGTAAGACTAGAATCACTGCAAAAGGTAATGTCATCAATCAGTTAGTCAGTCTAATCTTGCCTAATCTTTATTAAAAGGTTGACTGCTATAAATAGAGTCTAATTCAAAGGAGTTTCGGCTGTACTTGTTTATAGACAGTAATAGGCCTTTGCATGAAACGGTCACGTGGTACAAAATCCGCCATACTGGATGGCAAAATACCCAATGGGATGTTTAAAACAAAGGAAAGTCAAGCGTTCCTTTTGTTTATGAGGTTTTTACATTAGTTTTCCTTGCTGTATGGCGGGTTTAGTACCAAAAGGCCTATTAAATACACTTGTTTTGATAATATTATTATTTTTTTCATTTCAGGTTCGCAATGTCGTTGAAAGTGTTCATTGGCTTGTTGTAGTGCCATATTGGTAGGTGTATCTCAATAGTACCCAGGGCTTTAYCATCTAATATCTAGATAAGTTTGACAACTGAAATCAGAAAACAATTATTGACTGGATTGCATCTCGTTCTGTTCCGTCGCTTCTTGTTYGTTCGGCGCTGTGCAGGCTTWGSGAAATTAGATATTTTTACCACGCGCATGCGTAAGAATAAATGAAGATCTGAAAAAGAGATTTACTGGTTTAAAAACAATGATCTCACGCATGCGCTATAAATGCAGACATGAGCAGTAACCATGATAGGCAGTAAGCGGATAGACAAAAAGTATMSCTGGCACAATGCATTGCAAGTCTAGTAAGTGACGTAAAAGATTCGGAAGTTTATCCAAAACTCTTGTTTTCTGATTTTTAATTTCTATTTTTAGGGCAGTATGGCCTTATGAAGTTCTGTTACTACCAAAACGTCATGTACTGCGGCTAACAGACTTGACTGACGCAGAACAACAAAGTGAGTAAGGGCTGTTTGTATGAGATAGGGTGTCCCTACGTGGCAGGGCTAACTCCTTGGTTTCTTTTCACTAGGGGCACGCCTATGTAAACAGGGCGTAAGACACGGGCTGTGCACCGAGCTTCAAACKTGCCGAATATAATTCACAAATGTACTGATACATGTGAAATGCGTCGTATAAATGTATACATGTAAAGTGCGTGTGAAGATCGAAGATACGGCAATGGTGCTGAAGTGATTTATACGTCGCATCTCACATGTGACAGTTGTAATGCTCTTCCTCTTGTAATTCTTCGCATGAAAAATTCGTCTTTGTTATCCCAATGGCGAAAACACAGAGATCGAGAGGGGATTGGAATTGRAATTTATATCCGTCACTTAAAGTTCAAACGTCTAAACCMATTACCGTGTTTAACTATTCAAGTCGATTAAAATAGAAAKTGTATTMGGCACATGTGAAGTTCGACGAAAACTTTTGACCTAATCGATTGTATAAAAGTATTAGGAAGCAAAGAGACYTTAGATTAACGAAGCACTTGGTAAAGTAGAATCATTAGTTTGTGCCACATTGTTCAAAATTCTCTTGAAAATAAGTCTTCATTTTACTGTGGAACAAGCTTTGAGAAAACAATCGGCTTGTGTGTAAATCACTTATAAAGAATCGAAGGCGTATAACGAATAACGGTAGCAGAAAATYGACTGGTTTCGATGCMGGCCATAGTATTATTGACAAATTATCATTTCACTACTTTTAATTGAAGGTCTTGCAGAAATTATGAAACAGCTGTTGACGAAGTACGATAATCTATTCGAGACATCATTYCCGTATTCGATGGGCTGGCACGGTAAGGTCTGCTCGCGTCCTGAATTATATGCATTGTATATGGACATGTCTTGTATTTGTGCTTACGTCCATTACATCTAGAGGTCGTTTCTTTCTCCTATTTCTTCATATTTCGACTTACCATCTTCCATCCTTTCTCTCTTCCTTATTCTTTTTCGTCCTTTTCCTTTCTGCATTTGTAACTCCCTGTTTTATGTCATTTCCATCCTCACCCAACATCATCACTGCCCTTTTTTTAAGCAATCTCCTCTCTCCCTTTTCCTTTCTTTTCGTCCTCACYTCTCCAACTCCAGCCTTCCCAATCACTTCCYCCCTTTTTCTTACWTTCCTGCTTTCCGTCCTCCMTTTCTTCTGTCCTCCYTCCCCGTAAACACTTCTCTTCAGTSCATTACTTTCCTGCCTTCCTTSTCCCTTTCAGTGCTCCTCAATCATGCTTCCCACTTATKTTCATCCTCCMGTTATTTCMATCATTCMTTRATCACTTCCCCCGGCTTTTCTTTTTATTCTGCTTTCTCTTCTTACGCGTCCTCTTCCCTCTATACCTTAACTTCTTTCTTTCATTCTATTCTTAACTAATTTTAATTTTTTATAGGTTTTCAAAAGTGCGCGCTGGGCTGCGAACGGTTCTGATCCGAATACGTTTTTTTTTCTGGGAAGCCCGTCTATTAGTTGCTTTTCTTCATGCTGTGCTTTTYCTTCTTTCTATTATTTCTATCTTAATTTTGAAATGATATCTTTTAGGTGCTCCAACTGGCGAAGAAGACACAGAATGTAGTCACTGGCAACTKCATGCACACTATTATCCCCCGTTACTTCGCTCAGCTAGCGTAAGAGAGAAAMAAGATATAGATTAAAATGAATTTTACTCGGCTTACAGTATTTTGAGAAACGAAACGAAATGTGGCAGATAATTGAATTCAAATAGGCAATAAAATGCGTTTTATTTTTTATTTCCCTCATCGAATTAAAACTCAACTCGACTGAGAGCTATCCGGTCATGARAGTTTCAAAATGACTCGGGATGAATAGGCGGACCCAGTAGCCTTCTGGGTTATTTGTGCGCCGCTTAGTGGTCTTAGTGACCGTCAAAATCGCCTGTTTAAGCGTCTGAGCGTTGCTTATTCTATGTTATAAATAAACGAGACTGGATCGATAAATGGACGGAGGGCTTCCGACAACACTCGGAAATATTCGTGCATTGTTGAATGATGTCTTAGATGCGTATTTA